TATACTTGGCTCGGTATGAAAGCGTTCAAGGTTTGCTTCAGAGTGTTTCCCGAGTTGAGGAGGACATGTTCGAATGCGTCGTTGTGGTTTCGCTACTCCGCACATTAATATTGGCGAAGAAGGAGGGGCCACTGTCTGGAAAATGAAGCCTGTTGGAGGTGGATTGCCTGAAACAAAAAAAAAAAAGGTCTAGTATAAGGGTTAATAGTGTTTAAGGATTGCTTGGAATTAGTCAAAATTTGAAATGTCAGGTGGGAAATGGAGGCGTTTTAAACTGATGGCCTAGATCTAAAACCTCTTAAATTTACCGGCTAATAGCTCACAGATCGTACGTGGACTGAAACTCAACTGAAAGCTGATATTTTCAGAATATAGTGTACCCATGACCATTCGGACCATCTTAATTGATGATCAGATGCCAAAAATGGAACATTTGTAGCGTTTTATGTGGATACTTGCTATGAGTTAACTTCTGTAAGACACTGGGATCTCAAGCACTGATTAGTCTCCTAGACTTAGAACCTGGCACTTTTATAAGGTGAAAAAGTTCCGCCCAAATATTCTATGACAACCATTTGCTTCTATGCTATGCTAGAAGCAGCACTTAAGTGTTCAAAATGACTGATAAAACGTTAAATAGTACCTGTGTGCATTACGCGAGTGGAAAGCGTTTGTTTCGATTCAAGTTTTCCCTTGGCTGACCTGGGTTTTGTAGTAATCTCCACGTCGATAACGTCACTGACAGATAGCGAGTGAGACACACGAATTGAAGGAAGAAATCTTAAAGAAGAAATGCTTCAGTAGATGAGAAAGAGTCGGTTTATTTTGACCCTAGACCTACCCGCAAATACACCTAGCTATTCTTGATCACTTTTTGTGCGTGAAATTTTTAGTGAATTGATCAATTGTCCGACTGACTTGACCGACTTACTGAATGCATCACTGAATGACTGACTGAATGACGGATTGACTGCCTGGCGACTGCGTTACTGACTGACTGACTGACTGACTGACTGAAAGACAGATTGTCTGACTGACTGATTGTTTGACTGTGTGACTGACTGACTGTGTGACTGACTGACTGACTGACTGACTGATTGTCATTCTGCCTCTCTGTCTGAATATTTGACTGAAAGGCAGACCGGCTCATTGTTTGATACGGACTGTCTAACTGACGAATCGTCTTGCCAAGTGCATGACGGACTGACTGGCTTGCTGGCTTATTGAAGACTTACTTGATTGATTGACTGAATGCTGACCTACTTGCTATAGAGCTTGTTGGACTGACTGACAGAGTGACTGACTGTCTATCTGTCTGACTGACTGTCGGACAACAGTTGATCACACTGAGTGACTTACTGAATGACTGATTGAAGATTGACTGATTATGATGTTTCAGCTGATCTAATGTCAGATCAAACTTACCGATCAAACAGTGTCTGAAAGTGAGTCCTCAGATCCTTGATGTTTATGAACATCACTGCATCTGGATTGACCTCACATGCCTTTCAATCAAAACAATTGATGTAAAAAACCCACTTAAACATACACATTCAAATGTGAAATACGGCCAAACAGGCGTGCACTATAAAGGTCATGTACGTACCATGTAACTTCACTGTTTTATCAAAAAAACTCCTCAAGTGGAAAAAGCAGTTAATTCGATATTTCCTAACAACTGGTATATTGACTTTCATCTCTTAAGTGCGATTCCCGAAAATGATGTGTCGAACGTTTTACTTTACAACATTAGAATCATTTGATTTGCTGAGAATAGAAAACTATATTGCTTCTTTGAGGATCATTCTCCCTTACTGTCTATTACTGAAATATTTTTCGTTGCTAACCTTTTCAAGATCCCGTTCTTGCCTGGAGAATTTCAGATGAGTTTCTTCCCTCTGTTGAGAGAAAACGGACTATTCTTGTAACATACGCAATGACATACTTAACCGTCACCTAAACCTAACGTCATTTTATGCAAAGAGTCTATACTGATGTATCAAATAGCTATTCTGAATTGTTAAATTGCTACACCGCTGACGCAGATTTCTAACTCAAATCTAAATAAAGTTATCCAACGCCATCTGGCAAAACGCTTCGAAAATTGATTAAATAGCAATTTTGATTTCTGTAGTTTTAGATAAATTGACCCTTCATATGCATACGTGTCAAGCGTATCTGAAAAGCTACAAAACTTCAATTTGGTTGGAGCACATCAAAATGCCGAGCGTATGGCGTACTTTTTTAATCAAACAAATTTTCCATATTATATTTAAACATTAGACGCCGATTTCTGTCTGTTTTTTTTTTTTCTTTTTTTTTTCGATTCCCGGCCAGGATATTGGAAGTTTACATCACATCCCTTGACAGGTCTGTTGATGTAAGAAAGAACCCGAGGTCATACAAAACGATTTCCCTGTAAAACATGAACATTGTTTTTAACCTTGATTTTCTTGAAGAGTCCTCTGAGAAGCCAACCACAGACTTGAGTGGGACTCAACTGGATGGCAAAACTAGCATCCGATAGAGCCTGCAATACAAAATGACATCAAGTACTTGTTAGAAAAGGTTATTTTTAGCAAATGGACTAGGGGTGGAGGGGTACGTAGGGGCTACATAGCTTCATAAATTAGTTTTCATGGCTCCTTTTCTTAAAGAAACAAACAAGGAAAATAACACCCTGGTAACTGGTATTTTTACGACTATGTGGAGGGTTTGAAACCTAATCTTCTTTACGAACAACTTTGATTAGCAACTCAAAGCCGACTGGGATATTACGATTAAGTAAATTGTAGAACTGTTCCCGCTTCTAACGCAGTAGTGAAGAGGTTACTACAATATCGCTTGTTGTTATTTACTTCCATTACCTTTTCTTGCTGTTTTAGAAGGAAACTAACCAATGATCTGACGCAGAATAAATCCTGCGAAAAAGCAGTTAAAATTATATTACTGAGATATCAGTGCTAGAAAAGGTTCGAAAACCCCGCTTTTTCATCTTAGAAATAGCACAATAAGCGCATGCTATTGGAATTATAGATCATGTTTTATTTTTTAAACAACATCAAGGGTTTGACTGGCGAGGAGGGAGAAAAAATTACGAAGAGAGTGTACAAAGAAAAAAGTGCGACTTAGAAAAAAGTGATATTGTGAGGTACGTGTACTCCCGGGGACATTTCCACATGATGCCCGTAGTCTCGCTTAGGGGTATAAATCAGGGATTCTGGTCTCACTTAGGGCGTCCACGACGAAACGACACTATTTTTAGCTGTCAAGGTATCTTTTAGGGTATACTCGAAGAAACAACAATTAAAAACGCTCTTATGTCCGTTTCTAGGCTCGATTTCCACCAGTCTTTCAAGTCCGGTCTACTAGCGCGCTCCTTTCTTCAATTCCTAAACAGCGACTGGTAATCAAGTCTATTCCATTTTAAGTGGGTCAAATAAAGCTCGAACCAGGCCCAGATTGGTCTCCCTCAGGGGTTTAATTCAAATTATCCGATGAGCATATCTCCGGCCTTTTCATCAAGGGAATCCCCCTAGGTCTCCCACTAGAGGGAGGGGAGAGTAAGGAAACTTACCGGATTTCTGAAGTCAAGTAAGATAGCTTTGTCAATATTGTTTAGAGCCTCGTTAAGCTCTCCTGATAAAAAAAGGAAAAGGAAAATAAGAGATATATGACCCAGTAATGCTTAGTCGACATATTAACGTCGAGAACAAGTTTTCAGTGGTGCTTAAACTGGGAGCGAATTGCTCACCAAGAAAAGTGATTCCTGTTGTCGATAATTAAAACAAGAGAAAATGACTCTTGGATAAAATCAATACATTCATCCCAGTAACAAACAATAGCATTGGAAAAGGAAGTCATAATTGGTAATTGCTATAAGAAAACTTAAAGTTCTCGGTTAGTATATTTAAATGAATGGCAAAGATCGATCATAGAAACAGTCGATGAACAAAAGCGCGCTTCCCACAATCAAAACTAATTTGGAGAAGAACTGAACAAGATCGACAGTGAATGATTTTCAAACCTATGTGAATGTGACAACAAGCTATCCTTGCCAGGGTAGGCACGTGCAGGTGTAGAACCCTTCCAGTGATGCAACCTGCCTGGCACTCATCCTAAAAGGCAAGAGAATCCATTCATCCCGATTATTGTAAGTAAGCACACGCGTCAAATGTATGTAGTACGACAATTTATAGATACTTGGTCATGAATGATCAAGTCGTATACTAGCCTGTGCAGCAGACGTTTCCTTTCCATTTTTCAGGGGGAGAGATCGAGCAAGCTAGCGAGCGAACGGGCGCGCCAGGGGTGAGCAAAAAATGGGGAGAAGTGGGGAGGGGGTGAACAAAAAAGGAGGAGGAGAAGTAGGGGGTGGGGATATTATTTTACCACACCTCCTCCCCCCACTCCCTATTTTTTCCAACTCGCTCGCAGTTTCGTTCCCTTCGCGTGGTTTTGGAATTGAACGCCTGTTACGCAGGTTTAGAGTCGGACAGACGTATTTTACAGACCTTTCTCCAGCTGACTACCTCCATGGCTCGCCGGAAGTGCCGCAGTGCGTTCTGGTAGTTTTGAAGGTTTTGTAGTGCGACTGCGCAATGAAAGTGGCATTCGAACAACTGTGAATTAATGTGAAGTATGGGTTATTGACCAAGTGTAAGGTCAAGATTGCTGGATATTGGCCAAGTTCTTTTTTTGCGTGTTTATGGACCGTTTATGGAGCGTTCTGACATTAAAGAGACACGAAAGAGACGAAGGGCGAGATATACTGTTGATATAGAATGGGGTGTTTTTTTAAACTCAAAACACAATTCAACTGAGATGGAGTCAAAGAAACAAACAAAGCAACATAAAACATAGTAAGCCTGAGTTTAAGGCGGGCGAAATTATTTTCCGAAGCAACTGGTTGCTATTCCACTTGCTTGACCTTATGTTAGCAAGAGACAGAAGAGAGGATAATATTAGAGAAAAATTTTCCCGTACCTGAGTGCCTTCTTCGAATCTATTAATAGACAACTCGTATAAAGGCTTTTTTAAGAAAAATGCCTGATTGGCTGAAGGCTGTCTCGGAAAATCTACAGATCGAGATCTTTAGTTTAACTTGAGGTGGCTGAATAAGAATACGCCTAAAATGGGTGCTGTTACGAGCTACAAGTTCAAAAAAACTTGATAACTATACCTCATGCCACTTATTACGAAACTGAATAGCCTTCAAAGAACTATCATAGGACACTGGGAATCAAAGTTCAGTATCATTCTATTCTCCCTAGCTCTGTCTGTCTTAGTAACTAAGGGCAACCTAGCCACAGACTTACGAATATACGAACAAGTAATTATAATTGAATGTTTCACAGCATCATTTAATAAAAGAAATCTCGTGTAACAGACCAGCAGCCGCAGTTTCTCTTTGTTGAAGTGCTTCCTCCATTTTGTTTTGTAGATCTGACGCAGCACCTCTTCATAATTGGCCTCCGCCTGGGGACAATTCAAGGAGAATGTCATCAAGTACTATATAATTAGTTAGCGTTGAGAACCAGCTGTTAAAATATTGGCTTAATTCTTGTTTCTTTGTTTACATGTGGACTGAAACTAAGATGAAGTCGAGGTGCCTTGACACACGAAAAAATGAAAACAGAAAACAATATTCAGATTCTCTTCAACTGAGTCAAGTAGCATGCAGCCAAATTTAATTAAGCGATGCCACGAAGCAATAACATCATGTATTGATGTATAACATCAATCACACAAAACTAAAAACCAACGGAGAACAGTTTTAATTGTGACATATTTCCTTACGTTGAAGCTAGAAATATTATCATAATTCTTCGGTAGAAAATTACCATGAAAACATTTCCTGACACCTTCTTATGTCATTTATATCTTGACCACGATATATATTATTCTTTAGGTTTTGTGGTTATTTTATATCCTTGCTTACGATCGAACGCAGACGTAAAACGCCGGTGTGAATTGAAAACAACCTGAGGGTATATGCTTGCATTATTGCAGGTACTGAACTAATGAGTTTCTATGGCAATGCATTTTCAGTCAATTTTCAAGCAGGGTTTTAAGAAGAAAGAAAAGTTACCAAACCTAAGGAGATCGCCATGATATAAAAAGCTTTTCATACGTGCATTTTTTGCTCGAATTCTTCTTATTTTCACAAAACGAAAAATAATATTTATCAAGAGTTTTCCTATTCCGTCCATATCATAATTTCGATATTTTACATTCTAAACTTTTTACCGTGCTTTGCATGGTTTTTCACGCATTTCCAATCACAATATAGAAAAAAAAAACTAGCTAAGATACGGGTTTTTCATGCCAGAAAAGTTTGTTGTATTTCGGTTTTGTATGAAACATCTTTAATCATGAAGCGACAGAAAGGCTAACTGTCTTATTCAGCGTAACCAATAGCGACATCTATTTTGCCAATTTTAATTTCCGAAAAGAAAATTACGTCGATAAAATTGTGCATAAAATCAAGAGGTAAAATTGATTAAGGGATAGAAAAATGGATGGAAATACCTTGTGCCAAGATTTCTGTCTTTCAGCCGACACGGCCGAAAGAAAAGCTCTTTGAGTTTCCATGTTGCTGATATGCCAAACAAGTCTCTTTACTCGACAAATGTTTAACAGCTAATTGGCTGCTTGCGTTGACAGATCGTTAGCGGAAATTGTCTGTAAAACTGCGTTTCATAAATAGTTCGTTATCTAGGGACATCAACATAACTGTGTTTACGAGGAAAGCGCGAGGCAATAAAGAAATTTTAAAGCCAACTTTTGCCCATGCAAAAACAATGGTGATTCATGTTTAGTTTCAGTGCAAAGCAGCTGATACCACTAGGAGAATAATCCATTTAATATGAATAGAATTCCCAATTTGCATTTGAGCGGTGAAAATGTCGACCAGCTAGGAATATTTATAAATAACAGAAGTTTTTACAATGATGTATCATTTTTGCTAAAATGTCTACAAAAACATGCGCTAGTCGCTAAAATTTATATTTTTAATTTCTAATATTCAAACAGGGGATTCGAGTCCTGTTTAAACATAAATCCGTCTTTGTTTTATTTTAATCTCTCTTTAAAATAAAAATTTCATGAAACCGAATATTTCAATCCAAGGAGACGAATCACCAGCAGTGTTGGTTCTGGTCTCTATTTCAATTTCTCCAGAACCCACAAAAGCTCCAGAAAGGGATCCAAGAACGTGCTGTTCTGTGTTATTTTCGTGGGTGACTGGGGGCGGGCGAGGGCTATGAACGCGAGAATACTGGCACGAGTGACGAGCCAGGAAAATGTCAGCGGTCAGTACCTAAATTCATAGAACCGTCACGTAACACTACTTCAACCACTACTGCAACATAATAATTATCACGTCAAAGATTATCTGGTAGATATTCTCGATTTTTAAGATGGAAAAATCTTTAGATTCTCATTTAGATGACATGTAAGTTCGCTTTACATCTGTTCATGATTAGGAGATCAAGCAATCATTGTAAAAATGTTTATTTTTTGATGTTTTCTCCTAGCATGTCCGAACATGGCGTTATTGGAGTGTTATGTAGCGACCAACAAGGTCTAGCTCTGTCAGGTAAGTGTATAAAGCTAATGTTTATAGACATACATCTCGCATTTGAAGACATCAGAAGAACGCGTTTAATTATGTGTTGTCATTACTAATTTCCTACAGTTTGTAGTAGTGTAAAACTTTATTGTAGATTGTAAGTTGAATTGCCACAAGTCACTCGCTGATCACAGGACTTTGAAGTATTTCATGATTTGAGAAAATTACTTCAATGTGATTGACTGAGAGCAGGCAAACTCTATCGTTAATTTTTTGATTTGCACTGTAATGCAAATAATACGGGTGCATTCGTAATTTTCTCAGTCATAACACTGTAAATGTTTAATTGTTTGAATGTTCGAGGTGTACAATGTAAAATCCAGAAGATATCCATAACCCCGCCACGCAGTAGATTTTACTTAGGAGCCCTTCTCCTTCCCAGAATTTCCATTTTTTTTAACACAAATCTTCCTCCCCCGCCCCCCAATACTTCCAGAATTCCCACAAGTATTATGTACACCTCCATATGCAAGTTAGTGTGGTAAAATTAAAGTAAACACCCCAAACACTAGGCCACCAGCATTACATATCACTGCTGTTTATTATTTTCGATCAATCTCAGCAATTTAAAATACGCACTAAGAAAACATGTAGCAATTTCTTTTAAAAAGGCTTTAGAGGTAAATACACTGTCGACAAAATGGTAACTTGTCAAATTGCCTTCCTATACGATGCATCCCTTTGAAAATGTAGTAAACTTTCTGTTCAAGACAGATGAGCCAAAGTGTGAATGAAACTGACACCATAATTTTATCATGAACACACTCAGAAACAAAAGCCAATTTTTACAGCAAAATTACATACAAATGAATAAAGATAAACAAGAACAAAAAATTCTCAAGTTTCTGGAATTGTGACATCATTTCTACCAACTATAAACTTCTGAAAGTAATGACTCTCGTTGCGTTCACATTTAGTGCATGTAGCCTTTGGGGCTCGTTACTTTTGAGGGGTTGTTACCCTTACCATATTTTAAGAATTCTGGTTGATGTTGAACTATGTTAGAGATTAGGAATTGATGAAAACCAAGCTGTCTTTTGTGTTTTAATGAACATCTTTAATCTTTACCTTAGAGATGCAAGGTAAGATTTATTGTTAACACCTTGTAACCTTTTGCTTTGCCTTATCTACACATCACTAATGAACTTCTGTGAAAAAAAAAAGCTATTCCATGCGAATGAAATGGGAGTTTTTTTTTTTTTTTAAATATTAAATTTGCAACCACTAAATTTGGCTCACCATTAGCCTTAATCTTTTCTTGGGGATAATGGATCTGTGATGTGTGCAGAATAAGGAATAAGTGATCTGGGGGAGGGGTAAAATACAGTATTTTCAGAGACACTCTAACTTTATTGAGAGCATTTTCCCAGATACATGTACAGCACTCACCTTTTTCTGTCATTTTATAAATACACTACTCAATTCTAGTAGTGCCTATCCATCGCCCTCAGACCAGCCCTACAGAAAATCCCTGGGGTGCACGTGGCAGGGAGACAAATTCCCTTGAGTGGAAACAAATAAGTTGGTCAAATGCCTCAGGTTGAGAGTTAATAACGGGACAACATCATGTAAGCTTGCCTTCTCTACCACATGAGAGACCAAACCCACAAGGATTACAAATGCTTCAGGGATTTCAAAAGTACCGCCCCTAGCATTAAGGTGTGAACAAATGACTGGCTATTACCTGGGGGTATAGGCACTGCTGGAAT